TCTTTCGTAAAATTGAAGCAATTTGGAAATCAAAATAGAATAGAATTTAACATTAGTACGTAATATAAAATATGTATTGAAAATTATAACGAGATAGTTACGGCTAATAGATATATTTTAATTAGTAGATGTTATCGAAGCGAGAATTGGCATTTAGAGGGCGTAGAGAATCTATTAAATCTAATATAAGAGAGTTAATTATATTGAACTTGCTTATTTATTAAGTGCGTTAGATAATCTATTAATTAAAAATACATTTACAGAAGTGTACGGTTTTACTGGCTTATCGAACAAACGAATACGAATGGACCCTAGACCATCGCAGACCGATTGCCCCTGGAAGTCGGCTTTTTATAGAAACACAGCTTCCCTATCATCAAATGTCACGGCACGCCACTGCTTTATATCGATACATCACGTATACAACCATCTTTCGTTTCTACCAATTCACGTGCAAAGAAGTATTTACTTTCGACACTTGGGGCAGCACCGTTGCCATAAAAACTTCGCGCTAGCGGGACCTCCACCGTAATCCGAGCGCAAACGCAAATAGGTCACGTGATTAAAAGCGCGTGCGCGAATCTGGCTTTTTGGAATCTGACAATACAGAGATTCCACTCCGCCACTAATATTCGAATATACAATAGCGCTCTTATTTTTTTTTTCATGTGTAGTATAGAAATTTGTAATAAGATACATAATGCGGTTATAATAAAATATTGCGCGATTATTTTCGTATAATTAAAATTAATATGTATTTATTTTTTATAAAATACGAGGAAAGCGGCGCTTCCACCGCTTCTAATGACGGCACGCTACTGGTATCAACGTATCCATCCAAAATTGTTCGACATTACTCTTGTCTGTAAGATGTCCCGAAATAATAAGGAACATCTTGGGTTAATTTATTTCTTTGAAAGTGTAGATATATTTTATATTGGTGATACGTAGGATTGGTAGGTGCACGACGTACACGCTGCTCTATCGAATTGTGTAGTTTTCAATTTCGATCGATTCTTTATCTATAATCGCGACTGATCAATAATACGTTTTTAGTGTTACGCAAAAGACATTTCCTTACAGAAACTTATCGACAAATTCGCCACTATCGCGCTATTGGCGCCGCAAACTTTAATAATCAAACTGTTTTAATTAATATCCGCAAATTGTACGATTAAACACGTCTAATAATTATCCAGCAATCCTCCGTTGGGACAACGTTCGCCACGTCTGATTTTCTCCACTTTCAGAAGGAAAAAGAAGAAATCCAACATGGCATTCCACAGCTACAATAGAAAAATATTTATCTTTAATATCTTATTATATTAAATTAATTACTTAAAGCTACTCCCGAATATCCGTTTTTCGATTATCCGCGTAATTCTTATATTTATAAGAATTACCGTAAAAAGACAAAGTATCGTAAACGACACACACGGCTCTCTGAGAATACATACGAAACTCATATTTGTATGCTATAGACAGCTCATTTCAGAAAAATATCCTAGTTTTAATAACCGAGAAAATGACGAGTGCGGGCCGCATAGCAATTTTGTTCAATACAATACACTGAATGCACAATAAAAAAAACCGACATATTTATTTCCCAATACAAACACGATAGCTTTCCTTAGAAACTTCATCGCGAGTACTTACACAAAAAGTCGCCGAATTGTTTATTTCACTGCTTTTCCTGAAAATTATATTACTGTCAGATGCAAACACCAGAACTCGTCCCCGAAAATCTCCCTTGCGCGGTGCTCTTATTCAACAGAATGCCAATATTTCATTGGCATTATGTTGAATAAGAGACCAACAAATATTATTTTAAAAAATGTTGTCGAAAGAAATTTCTGCTCAATGAAACGATAGTTTACAAAAAGTTTTTCAAAAGTATAATAGACAGACAACAGCCAAACTTTCTACTGAAATATTGGATTCGTTTGTTAGCTTCAACGAAACTATACAAATACGTGTATCTGAAAATGAATGTAGATTAATGTAATTTGCATTCTCATAACAGAAAACGCAGCGCTCGAATGACAATACGATAAGGACGATAACTCCAAGTAATGGATAATTCGGGTTTCGGTTTGACAGGAAAAAGATTTCACGGCTAATTTTCCTCCGTGTATTGGTTTGTAGTTTACACTGGAATTATT